AGATATGGTTGATTTGGTTTTGTGTAAAGTGATCCGGTAAGTCCATGTGGTTTTGTGTATGCGTTTATGTGGGAATATGGTGCCGCCTATGGCCAGTTTATTGAAGGCACATAGGTTTGCAAACCTCCCACCATTTTCGTTCCTTTCCCCCAATCTGTGTCGTTCCATGATGTCTTCATATCCAGTGTTGTCCATTCCACCTTGGCATTGAAATCTCCCATCAGAATGGTCAGGTCCTTTGTTGGGAACTTCTCAAGGATTGACTGCAGACTGTCGCAGAATCTATCTTTAATGTCCTCATTGTAGTCGTTAGTAGGCGCATAGCATTGGATGACATTCATTGTAATACCCTCTTTCTTTGTTTTGAAGGAGGCTTTGATGATCCTTGGTCCATGAGATTCCCATCCTACAAGTGGATTTTGCGCTTGTTTGGATAGCATCAATGCAAATCCTTTTGTAAGTGGGGCATTTTCTTCATGGCCGGAGTATAACAGAAACTCCTCTGAAGCTAGTCGTTGTTGTCCAACTTGCGTGTTTCACTGATCCCAAGTACCTCCAGGTTATATCTCCTCATTTCTGCAGCAATTTAGAAGACTCTCCTGATCTCCCACATTGTATGAGCATTCCATGTACCTAAATAAATGGTTGCTCTGGTTGTCAGAAGGGGCATCGGCCTCGTGACTTTCGAAGGAACTCGGCTTTCATCATGAGGTGTCATAACTCTTCTAAATGAAGACCTCCTGCCTCCCAGGGCAGAGTTTAAATGGTTTGAATGATTTTTTCTGGTTAGCGTTTTTTCAGCGAGTTATTTTTATAGGGGAAGGGGTCGCTAACCCCATGCTCGACCCTCCTCCTTTATCTGGGCTTGGGATCGGCAGTAGCCCCTGGGGGGCTCCAGGCGGGGTTATCATCAAGTTATTTTATTCATTTTTTCAAGATTCAAACAAGAATTATTTTCCCTTATATCTATCTATCTATCTATATATATATATATATATATATATATAACCTCTCGATCGTTGTAGCTGCCTTGATGTCGTGGTCGGGGCTTGCCTATCGTGATGAACCAATCGAGCCATACCGGCTGAAACACTCGTTCCTCAAGGTTGGTTGAAGAGCGGTTAGACTAAAAGAAGCAAACCCAAGGTCTGAGGGTGAAGTCGTACTGCTGACTGTACAAAGGTGTGACGGAAGTAAGGTGTTTACTTGAGACAACCAGCATAAAGACGATGCTGCCCTCCCACAAGAAGCGGTGGGGTTAGAAAAGGTCGACCCTAAAAACACACACCTCGCCTTATCCTACGGATATCCATCTCCTGTGGTAAGGTCTCAACAAGTACGGAGCTAACAAGAAAATTACCCACAAAAATGTCGTGTGTGACCGACCTCAAGCAGTTGTCCCTTGGGCACTGCGGTTACGTTATCAGGTCACTAAGACCACCTCTAAACCAATTTTCCTTTGAGGTACCTCTAGAAGAACTTTTCCACGGTGTGGGCAACCGGTAAGTGGTAACCGCCCTCATATTTCTAACAGCACTCAAGACTGGCTGATATATATTACCTCTTACGAATGACATCATGTCACTTTACTTTATAGTTGGATCAATATTTAACTCAGTAATTTAGTTATATTTGTTTATTGGAGCAATTTAATCAGCCGATATCTCAAACTCCATACATGGATCAAGTTGTTGAGTAGGTTATGTCAAGTACTGTCTATTTTAATGTGTGATTATTGACCAGATAAACAAATCAATGTATCGTGTTATAGTTGCTGACCGGTGGTTGATTCATTTATGATGTATGACTGATCCTCATCTACAGTATTGGCTTCTTCAGAAAACAGAGCCGTGCCAGCTATTGTTCAGTTATGACAAGTTGTAAGTAGCACTTTTACTGGGGGTGTGAATAAGTAGTCATTCATGTCAGCGTCCTTATGAAGTCACAACACTATTATATAACTGTAACATACACTCTGAAGTTTAAATATTATGCACTATTATGCAACGAATGTTGTAAGAATTAAGGAATTTAAGTTACTTAATTCACAAGACATAATGGAAATTCTTAAAAACAAATTATTTTGCTTAAAGACCATTTATTCATATTAAAAAAACAGAATGATGAGCTGACGTCACATAACATTGATCTTGGTGTTGATTCTCACTGAGAACTAAGTTTATAGAACTGAATCAGGCTTGAAAACCAACAAACACCATATTACTTTGATTGAGATCATGAACCAATTGATGTTAGACCACCGTTGGAAACCTGGAAGCACTGGACGGCCGTTTCGTTCTATTATGGGAGTCCTCGGCAATGCGCATCCACGATCCCACTAGCGGGATTCGAATCCAGGGCCTTCAGTCTCGCGCGCGAACGCTAATCCGTGTCGGGTAGAGACAGGTATCTACCTTAGTATAATGGAAGTTGGTCGCGCAATTTCGTGGATTGGTTGATGTTAGACACTAACACCGTTGGATGCCGCCCCAGTAGTTCAGTAGGTTAAGCGTTCGCGCGCGAGACTGAAGGCCCTGGATTCGAATCCTGCGGGACAGATCGTGGATGCGCACTGCTAAGGAGTCCGACAATAGGACGAAACGGCCGTTCAGTGCTTCCAGGTTTCCAACGGTGGTCTAACATCAATTGGTTCATGATCTCAACCAAAGAAATTAATAATCTCCACAATCCCTATACTGATAAACACCATATTAATCTTTACTTGGAGACCGACTGTAATGAAAGCAGTAATGATATAAAAGAAGCTTCTTGTCGAAAATGGTCGGTAATAATGGATTTAGTCATGACATTTGTTAGATCCTGTCCTAATTCTTCAACGACACTCCAAACTAATAATAATCAGGATGAAACGTGGGTCCACGACATTCCACCAATCGTCGACAGGCGATATATTTCATCACAAAAAGTGTTTCAGACTGATTAACTTGTAGTGTTTTGCTTCATTAACTACTTCAAGAAAAAAATTCAATTTTGATAACTGACGTAAAGCTACGCAACTAATTTCGAAGGCTACTTGTACTGTTAAAACAATAACGGGTTGTCAAATACTGAAAAAGTTAATGTACATGATACGCCTTAACTTTAAAGAGCAAACTTTATATCAACTGACAGAATGACGATTTCTCTAAAGAATCAGGTTTCATGAAAGAGAACCACAAAGCCTTCTGACAGTTATACTAACATTGACTTTAAAAATTCTACTCATTAGGTTTATACCACAAACGATTATATGCCCTACAAAAAGAAACATATTTTTATGATATTAGCAGTTATTTTTATACCAGACTGAACATTATTTGACTGTGTTATCAAAAAACAATCAGTGAGATAAAATCTTGTCATACTTGAATACAATCATAGTGACATCAACTAAGAAACCATTTTAAAGCAGAAAGAACCAGTCATCTATCTCATTCTAATAGAGAATGAAAATCTATATTCAGTGACCAGTAGTTGATCTTGCTACAGTGTGAAAATTTTCATATTATCTATGAAGTCACAATAAAAAAAGAATACTTAGTTAAGCAAAAGTATATGTTTGCCAATAACCGGACTTGTCACTTGAAGATTATCTACAAATGAAACGATTTTCCATGTTGAATATCATGATTTTAAAGAACACTAAATAACATTTGGAAGAAAACACGTGCAACTGAATTCGACATTACACTTCATGGGATCAAGTTGAAATATCTAAATTGACAATATTTGTTAACTACAACAAACGAATAAGCACAAATAGCGATGTCTCGTCGTCTATACTAAGAATTTGTTTGTAGTTTTATTTTACGACAATAAAATTTCATTTATTAAGTAAGAGAACAAAAAGAGTAATATGATACCAGATGATTTTACCAAAAACATTAGTTTTATTATGATACTGATTTTAACATATATTCATCCAGATATATGCATATTTGTGAATATTCCAACCTCTTTAAAGTTTATTCTCTTCCAATATAATAAAATTGAAGCATGAGTCAGGTCAACGAAACAAAACGTTTTGGAGCTGTTTGACGGATGACTTATTCAACAACAGTTATCAATGGTGCAACCTAAAATAAACCTTTATGCTTTCGATTAGAGTTTCCCATTTTTAATTATCTTCAGTTTCGAATGGTAAAACTGAAACATGGAGTCAATTAAGGTCAAAAACGTTTTTGTGGTTGGAATCCAGATAACTAGTTCTACAATCGCGTGGACTAATATGGAAAATTTGTCACTAAGAATTGGCATTTTGAAACTAGCCGCTTTAAATTTAAAAACAGCAAGATTTTATTTTCAATGGATGATTAACATCAAGATTCGTGCAAGTAGAAGGTAACTCTGACTAAAGTTAGCTGTTGGTTTTTAGTACTTCGGTGTATAACATCACCGAATTTGGAAAAGTTTACAAAACTTATAAGTCCCTCAGATAACCCATATATATAATTTTAAGCACGACCTGTAAATCAAATAGGGATGTTAACGTAGAATAAGCATCACATCTCCTGGATCTTTAATCGCGATAATCGAAAGATGCAAAGCAATGGGAGTACATATATATAAAAGTTTTACACAATCAAACATCTAAAACGTCTTTGCTTAAACTTACAAACAAACAACGTATATTGTAAAGTTATCTAACATCACTAAATAACGGTTAACCTTGATGGTATTTCAACCAAAAACAATGTTTCAGTCGTCAGCTATTGTCTATTATTATTTTTGGTAAACTGTTTAAAAGTTGATAGTAATTGTTTAACTGAAAATCTCGAAAATATTTATAAATGACCCTAATGAACCTATTTTTGTGGGGGTACGTAAGAGACTGAAGTCTAACAGATTCTACCGGTGTTGTAGATAATAAATATAAGACACCGATAACCAACACTATTATTCATCATCTACGTTTTTATGTGACGTTTTTGCAAAATTTCTACTGGTACCAAGAAAAACCTATAATTTTACCTAAGAATAAACAATGTCTATTAACTAACCTTGTGCAATTTCAGCCATTCACGCTCTAACAAAACCTGAATATTTAATTGTTGAGCGTGAAGCATACTCAACTTTGTTAGCTGTTTATTTAGCTGACATTCGTAGAACTCATATATGTTGAGATTTGTATTTGGTTGGTAAATGTGTCCAAAATGTTCAGAATTAGTAAAGCTGGGGTCGATGACACATTGACCCTCAAGGAGTTCATTGACTCTAGGCGAACATGGCATGGATTGGACTGTGTCAGGAAACAACTGCTGTATTTGTGAATCGTCGGATATATATTGGTCGTATTCTTCAGGTTCGGTAATTAAAGTTTGATTTGTCCGATGTCGAGGTACGTGTGAATAGAGGTGGCCCAAATTAGGAGTCGAGTTGGACATATTGAACGGCTCGTATCCAAAGGTTTCTCGATCATGAGATAACAAAGGGTTATTTTGAGCAGACGTTTTACTAACTGTTGGATTTTCACAAGTGTGAGTACTTTTTAAATGAAACTTATTCGTCTCATCATCTTCAAAGTCTTCGACTAGCTCCAATTTTGAATCACGAGCTCTTTTGTCACTAACAACACTAAGTGAAGAATCATGGTTTGAAGCGCTTCTACTTTTGTGATAACGATTATGCTTCTATATGATTGCCAAAAAGAATACAGTTCACAAATATGTCTCAAAAATAAGAAAAAATATATATCTAAATATTCTGTATAAACCACATTTTAATGAAAAGTAAAGTTAGTGACATAACTGTGAGTTTATACACGAATTTTCTGAATATGGGTAGCAAAAACTTGAGAATTGAGTCTTATGGATAAAAAAAATGATAAAAATTTTCACTGTTACATTTTTTCACGCACCATGAAGGAAGATTTATTTTTCACTGACGATAACAAGTTAAACCCCTAATCCTTGTGTTTAAAGTAGAGATGGTGATTTTAACAGCTACTTGTTTTATAAAGACAATTCGTATTCTTTTTGTGCAGATGAAGGCAAACTACGAGGCTTTGAGGCTTGTCTAATAGTGCATTAGTTTGAAATTTTGTGCTTTAAAACGGTTCAAATCTTTATTCGCAAGTAAAGGCAAGAACATGAAAGTGAACCAAGGACGATAATAAGCAAACTCAAAATTAAAACGCATTCAATTTTTGATAAAAAGTAAGGCAGTGACATACAAGTTAATGAAGTAGGATTTAAGTTCCTCGTAACAGATCTTGATTACTGATGTGCAACTTACTTACCTTATCGTGTTTTTCCCATAACCATGTTACTGCCATCGTAAGCTTAAAAAAGTAAATGTTTCTTGGTAGACCAAGCTTTTGTATGCATATGTATCATTTAACTTAACTAAAAGCTGAGTTGGATGTCCGTCAGACAAGAATTAACTTTTAAACGATTGTGGTTTACATTTGTTTTGAGTAACATATTCGCCAACTGAAATTTGGCTGTAGTAGCGGTTAACTCCGCCGAAAAGTAAGCTGCCGCTTTAGTCTCTTCATGGAGCTTACAACTAATTCAAAGCCTACGAAACATAATGCGAAATTCTGTTTCCCTGTCATTATTGAATACGAAATGTCGCATCACAAAGTTCAAAGGTTTCGAAATCAAAAATATCGTTGATTCAGTTTCCGAAAAATCAGGCTATTTATAAAAGAATTATTATCGTGCTTAAAGACGCAATGATGCAGAAAAGGTCATACGACTCGAAGTAACTGATCATAATAACACAAGCAAAAAACTTTGAAGTATCAGCTATGTAGAATAGGACCAGTGCACAGCTTGTGAAGCCCATGTATTCGAATGGGAAGTAAATATGTCCAGAAAAACCAAAACACGATCATTCATGTTCTTGCTTTGCCTGTACGCTAAAATTGACAGGTCAAGTTTTAATTTGTTAGTCATTTCTAGTGAACGTATTTAAGAGGTCCAGGCATCAAAGGCTTATAAATATTTTTTTCTTAAGATGAATGAAGTGACTCGAATATCCTGGAACATGTATAGAGGGCACCTGCCTATGCAATTCCAGAACTCCGAAGTTTACCATGCCAAGAGTCGATTGAAAAGCCGGACCTCTTTACTCTGTCCTTTCGCAGATTGAGACGTGATCTGATTTTGATGTAAGGAATATTAAGGAATGATTTTGAACAGAGCATATTCTCTCTTTTTCTTCTCATTATATAGAGATATCTCAGAGGATATAGAAGGCGAATATAAAAGCCTAGAACGAATAAAATACCCGTGGAATAAAGGTTTTGAACTAGTATTTGATCTTCATTAAACCGGAGTGACTCTAAAATTACTTCAAAACACTGCACTTAGTTACTTAACCAGAATATTATTTGTCATTGCAGGAAGATCAACTGGTTTACCTTCGAGTGAGTTCGATCATGGAGTTTGTCTGGACTTCTTAGGTTTATTACTGGTTCTGTATAGGATGACTGACTCAACGAGCCTCGTAAACTTCTTTTGTACATGGATGACGATTGCAATTCAAAATAATACAATATTAGTGTGAGGCATTATCGATGACCTCACTCGATTCATTAATCAATATCTTTCTTCAACGTGAAAGAATTGTCATTTTCGCTCTGCCGTCTCAGCAAAAATTTATGATTGAAGGCCTTTACAAATACCTAAACATGATAATTCAGACACTTTTCCGAACATGTTTTTGTGAATTCGACTGTTATTTTAAGTCGAATCAATAATTTAATGACAAACCATCGTTAATTAGTTGCACATTAGCCGTTAGATTTTGGATTTTTAAAAATTGAATGTCTGTGTGACCTTTTTCAAGTTTGCACTTAATGATTGCTATTTATCTTTCGTTATTCTAGAGGCAGTAATAATCTCAAGCTGAAGCATGATGATAAAACCATCACCAAAAGTGGTATCTTGATAGATCTATTTAGATGTTAGATTTACAAACACCTCTCTACATTTTTGTTCTTGAGATGAAAAACTGACTTTGTACAGTATAGTGAGCGTCATCGATTGGAGATTGGTTCTATGGTGTACTTCTCTACTTTTTTCCAACATTACCTTCCCTTAATAAAAACATTTCTGTTCTGCACAGCACGCAGGTGCACCAACGGAAGTTCATTTAAAAGACTAACGTCGTAGCGTGATTGCAACATAAGTCAGATAGTCATAGTATTGCTGCCTAATTGTATAAGACCATAACTATCTAATACATCATCTGCATTGGTGATGGAAAATTTCAAAAATATAGTCAGAAAACAATAGATAAACTGCCAGCCTTGTAAAATCTAGTCTACTTTGTCTACAGTGGAATTTCAAACTGTATTTACAGTTCAGCAACATTATTTATATACATAGATAATAGAGTTTAGTTTAGTCACTGTGGCGTCTATCAATGAGAAACGATTCTGGATGACAGAAGTGACTATAGCGCAAATTTTTCCCCACTACGTCAGTTTGTTAGTTGACTTGACAGTAGAAATATCAGTGGACCCTAGATGGCTTTGTTTCAACCACTTAATTCTCTGCATAAACTGCAAAGTCTGATTGATCCGCGATGCAAATAGCCTGCGAAGCATTTAGTGTCTGTGCTGATCTAGTAGGTTTGAATGAAACTTTCGAACTAATGGTTCATTAATTTACTCCTCTTGCTTATCCACATGTTTTGAATAAATTTTTGTTTTAGGAACTACAGCTCCTTTTCCAGTAGTCATTTCACAATCCATGAGTTCATCTGCCTCGGGCGATGAACGTATATAAATTTTTCCCCATAAAACTTGCACCCTTCTATTTTATTTTCATTGTGAACTTAATAATATCCTAATACTTTTTTCATTCGTTCCTACCTGCTCTCATCTCCGCTCATCTAGCTTTTTATGTGATGTATGCACAAGCATGGATATAACGCATACAGAGTTGTTTTACTTTACGCTCAATACCATTTTAGATCAAAATTCCTATGCGCTCGTGCCCTTCTTTGAAAATCGATCGCCAGGTATTTTATTTAAACCGTATGTATGTTAGCTGCCATATAATGAAGGTTACGTTACTTTCAATCAGTCGCAACAAGAAATTACCGTAGGCCTAATTTGAATAAAATCAAGACATAACAGATGACGTATATCTGATATCATCACATCTCTCCAGTCGTTTTGTGGTTGATCTAATTTATTAAGTGGTTGACATTATAGCGACTCACGTGCAAATGAGTTTAGTCTCATCTAACGCAGTTAAGCCCTTTTGCTAACTCATTTAGCGGATAAAGTCATCCGCACTATAACAACTTATTATACCCTTATTATTTTGTGCTTGTATGAAATACGTATGCTTGAATATTGCTTACGGCCTAAGCATTTATTCACTCTGCTAGTCTTACTACTAACTGATTATTTGATTCGATTACTCATTCATTTCACATGCTATATATATGTCCATGTTATTCATACTCACTCACTCACGCGCTTTCGTCTCGCTCTTGCTATGGCTCTCGCTCGCTTGCTTGCCTTTCGGCACAACTTCTATGCTTGTTTAACGCATCTGTACATTTAGATATATGTGTGTGCTCTCGTAATAAACGTAATCAACACTTCGTATTTGTCTTCTGATTAATATACCGTTGGGACGTTATATAGAACGGTTATCAAGACGAGCTGTATACGAAGTTTAAGGATTATATCGAATACCGACCACCACAACATCGTGTATTCTCATGAAAACAATCCTCATTTTGGACTTACTCGTCTGCTTAGAAGTTATGACGCTAGTAAAATATTGCTGGCTAAAATGAACTCATCTTCATCACAGATGACTAACTACCAAAATTTAAATAACCTTAGGAACTTAGTCATATCCATTCACCAACAATACAGATTGTGAAAGCACCCCACTGAACTGGCCCATGATGTATCTTACATGCATCTATTTGAAATACTTAAGTGGTGAGATTCTAGCTATTATATAATGGTTCTGTAGAAACGAGGACGTGAAAAAAATGTCAGACCCTTTCAAAGCTGCCCGCCGTTTCGTTTTAACGGCCTTGAACAGCCTGACGGGAGGCGGTCATTCCGTATTTCATTTACCGTGCGTTACATGAGTAATAGGCTTTTACATATTGAAGTCGTCTTTTGCTGCACTAAAAAACAAAAAATAACTGCCTAAAGCATTAATATCAGCGTAAAATTGGAAGAGAAATGATATATCGTCAAATCATACAAGATGGTTCACAATCATGCTTATAGTAGCTCATGGATGGTTTGTGATCCATGGACCAGGAGATTGTCGTCAAAAGAAAAAGAAAATCTGAAGTCAGTGATGTTGCAATCACAATCAACAAATGAATTAATAGGAAGCAAACGGTATATATGGAATCGGCGAAGCCAAACAATACACAAAAAACATTATTGAAAAATATGGTGAACACTTCGCGATCCTAGTTGAGAGAAGAGTCGACAGTTTTAACTTAAGAATCATCAATAACTAGACAAGACCAGTTTTTCAAACGCTTACCTTTTTGAAATTTACTTATATTCGGATGGATATTTATTACTATTCACAATTAATGTGTTGTTCTATCCCCATCCCAAATCTGTTATTCAGGAGGACTAAGTATAATTGGAACAATACGACGAGTATGTGCAAACAGTGATGCGACTTCAATGGGCATTGAATGCAAAAGAGATGGAAAAGGCGGCGGCTATAGGATACACAAGACAGCTCTTCAGACTCACAAAAGAAACTGAAACTAAAAAGTCAAGTGTAAGTGAGACTATCTCGGAAAATAACGACAATCCCATCTGCTCCCAGTCCAGACGTTTAGAACGTTGGGTGGAACACTAAGGAGCAGTTCAGCTGGCCTTCAGCTACTCTACAACTACCCACCATTCCCAGACAGTGTGAATAGAACATTGAAGCAAGTTCTCCAACTCTGTCTGAAGTTCAAAAGGCTATAGTTAATCTGAAACGATGAAGAGCAGATAGATTGGCTTAAGAGGTCTTTAAGTATAGTGGTCTAATTTTAGCGGTTAAGTTGACTAATATTTAGCTAAGATCTGGGGGTTGGATATAATCCCATCTGACTGGTCCTAATCACCTTTTGTCCCGATATATAAGAGGTGATCAGAACCATCATGTGACAACCATAGAGGGATTATCTGTACGAGTATTCGTCAATATTAGAACTAACAGTTTGACAAAAATAGTTCTGAGTATTACCGTGGAAACGTTCAGACGAGTTTGTTAGACCGAACGTTCGAATTAATTAAATTCCAGTCCCTTAGATTATTGCAAATATAATTTTCACAAACAATGTTATAGAGGGGTTAGTTTGACTAACGTAGCATCTAAAGTATTAGCCTTAATAACTATTGGGCGCCTAACTAAGACTCGTGAACTGCAAACACGAGAAAATCAGGCTGGCTTCAGACCCTGATGTGGCTGCATCGACCACATATTCACCATTTGCCAGGTTCTAGAACACAGGCATGCTTATCGGCGTCCGACAATGGTGGTCTTTCTTGACTTAAAAGCAACATTTGTGTCCGTAGACCTCTGGATTCTATGGTAGTGTCTGTCATTGAAAGGCGTACCTTAGAAGTACATAAACCTTGTGAAGGCTCTTTTTTCGAACACTACTAGTCGAGTCATGTAAGATCTTACAGATTAGGTAATTACACTATGACAAATCCACCGTTTCGGGACCGGGTCTATTATCAAAATTTAAAAAACAGCTAATTACAAAAGAAAAAATCTAATAGCTTACCTCTAACTGAGGTGTGTCTTGATAGTGTTTGATAATCAACGGTAATAGAATTCTGTATGTTAACTGGTAATATCCATTACTGTCCGATTTGTACTCTAATAAATACACATGGAACGGTATTCAAGTAAGAGAGGACTGTAGTGTCAGTTATCATGTTAAGCCCATATACTTTATTCTAACTTTCCGACAGCCCAATATATTCATTCTACTTGAGTCATATGTTGACCTTGTTAATTATTCGCTTGATGATGTCACAGGTATTCAGTGTTTGACAACGCTTCTACCAGTAACACCTTCTAATATATTTCGTTCCCGCCCAGAGAAATCAAAAGACAGAGTCGAGGAGATCGGAAGAGTATATTTGGCGATGACCAATATATCGGAATTCTCTGATCTAATCTGGCTAGCGATTGCGGTTGATGTTGAGCACGGCGTTACCACACGTGATCTGGTGCGGATGCCTGACCGAGCGCCTACAGCTAGATGAGTCCACTAAAACATATGGTCAGCATCCAATGTCGAAAACTTAGAGCTATTTATTTTGGGGATTTATTTACCGCTACAGATCACTCTCCCCCTAGTGGGGCAGTGATGACCCTAAGACGTGGCCAGCCAGAAGTTTAAACCCAACGAGTTTGTCGTTGGTAAACACTCTTCTGATAGCTTACTAAGTGTAGCAGCGTCTGGTCGTCTTTCCTTACTATATGGGACCGAGGTACAACATAGTAAAAAAAGAAAATGTACAATGAAAATTTCGGATCCTCATAAACGTCA